CCTATTATGATAACTCCTTCCTTGGGTTTAAAGCTGGTAAAAAAGAAGAAAAGTAACATTTCACTCAAAATTAAAACAATACACATTTAAAAATACTCTACACAAAACTATCATTAAATTTAGTAACAGTAAAGAAAGGGGACTGATCCTTTTTATACTCAAAGTGATAAGACATCTCTATCATTTTTTAAAAAGAACAAATGTTACTACGCCAGTACACTTTAATAAAACTGCTAACAAAACATCACAAAGTCATCTATGATTACATGCCTTCACAGTATTTGTTCTACTTAGGAAGACATGACCTGACAGAAAAGGTTAGGGAACCTGACTAATTTGTGAAAAATTATTCTCAAGCTAACCAATTCAAATTATTTGCTCCTAGACTTCCCGTTTGGTTCCAAAAGGTCATACATGGTTTTAAGAAGTCCTTCCTTCTCTCAAAGCAACCCCACCTCTTGCTCTTTATATTTTAAAAACTGATGCATTTTTATTTTTTTAAGAGTTTTTTTTTAAGATTTTATTTTTTTAAGAGTTTTTTTTTTTTAAGATTCTGTTTATTTATTTGACAGGCAGAGAGATCACAAGTAGGCCGAGAGGAGGGCAGAGAGAGGGGGAAGCAGGCTCCCTGCTGAGCAGAGAGCCCAATGCAGGGCTCAATCCCAGGACCCTGAGATCATGACCTGAGCCCAAGGCAGAGACTTTAATCCACTGAGCCACCCAGGAGCCCCTGATGCAAACTTTTAATCTACCACAACATTAAAATCGAGTCACAAACTGTAGGAACCAGCAAACACTCTTTACGTCTCCAGACTAGTATTCTCAATAGGAACCATCACTTTCCTGTCATGCTACAATCAATGAAAAAAGGTACAGAGATCACCAATTAAGAAGAGCTGATACCTCAGTAACCCCATTAGTAATGGAAAGAACACAATACAGAGAATCCAGCTTGTCTTGACTTCATGCACAGGGACTACTCTGTTGTCTACATGTTTTTCCTCTTTCTTTTTTTTTAAGATTTTATTTTTAAGTAATCTATATACCCCACATGGGGCTCAAATGTACAACTCCGAGAGGAAGAGCTGCATGCTCCACTGACTTAGCCAGATGCCCCGCTATTTCTCGAATGTTCCCAAATATATGACCATGTCCCAAAGACAGACGAAGATTCAATTACCCATCCATTTCAGCAAGAAGCTGGTTTATAGTCTGCCTGGAATATGGATGCATTGGAGACTCAATTCGCTTCCCATCAACAGAATCTAATTCATCAATAAATATAACACAGGGAGCATGTGCTTTTGCTTCCCCTAGGAAAAGAGAAGAGATACAAATAAGTTTAATGAAATCAATGTTTTTTGGACAAAATCATGTAAATATTAAAAACCTGTAAGACTGTCAAAGGCAACAAAAGACATTCATTAAGGACAAAGTACATAAAATGAGATCTCTTCTGGGGCGCCTGGGTGGCTCAGTGGGTTAAAGTCTCTGCCTTCGGCTCAGGTCATGATCCCAGGGTCCTGGGACTGAGCGCCACATCGGGCTCCCTGCTCAGCAGTGAGCCTGCTTCCCCCTCTCACTCTCTGCCTGCCTCTCTGCCTACTTGTGATCTCTGTCTGTCAAATAAATAAATAAAATCTTTAAAATGAGATCTCTTCTTTTAAAACTGATTTAAGAACAGTAGCCTCAGGAAAAAAACTATACCATACAAAATGATATATAATAAAAACAACTGAGTATTCATTCTTCTGACTGTACAAGCCACAGTCAGATCTGAGGTTAACTATTCCTTAATTACATACAACTGAATTAATGAATAAGATAAAAAGGACAACAACAACAGAAAACTCAGCTTTTCAACAGGCCCCAACCTCACCTAACACTTCTAGCTCCTCTACTGGGGGAAAGTACAGTTCTGTTTTAGATGACACATTAGATTACCTAAAACCAAAACCCCACAATAGTGAGGTCAGCTATCAATCATAATTGAATAGGAAATAAAGGGTAAGAATCCCTCTTCCCCTAAAATTAACAAAATTTTATATTGTATGAAAGATACATTAAAACGTACTAAATAGATTTCTGATACGGCTGGCTCCCACACCCACAAACATTTCATCAAATTCTGATCCAGAAGCATAATAAAAAGGAACATCAGCTTCTCCAGCCACAGCTCGAGCAAGAAGAGTCTTTCCTGTCCCTGGTGGTCCAACTAAAAGTATCCCTAAAAGGGAAAACAAATTCACAGATTCAACTTAAAAAATAAAAATAAAACCTGATGTGAGCCTATGAAACAAATAGTTATTAATTAATGTATACATAGTTTTGAGGTTGAAAGCACATGACTATTATTTTGAAACAAAGCAAAACATGTCTCTGGTAATGATTCACTTTGGGAACTTCTTCAAAACTAATTTCCCTCTACCATGAGAGAATGGACCATAATAAACTTAT